CTTTGGTGCACCATCGGACGAAAATTTATATTGAAACTATATTTAAATCGGAACCGATTTTACCAAAATTTAATAAACGTTAGACTATACTAACTTCTGTAAGTTGTGCAAAATGTTGTGTCAATCGGCCTAACTTGAACCCGTTTGGCGCACTTTGTGCCGCTTTCAATTGATCAATAAATCACATTATGCTATCCTGACCTCATTATGTTGTGCAAAATTTCGTGCCAATCGTCCAAAATTTTACGCTTTGGTGGCCCATTTACTAAAAATCGGACGAAAATATATAATTATTATCTGTGTCAAATTCAATCTCATTCGGACAAAATGTGACGTTCACTTTGTTTAACATGGGCAGACAGACGGACATTCATAAGTCGACTTAGAAAGTGATTCTATGTATATTCTCAAAAGGAACCATGAATTTGTCTTATTTCCTTTTGCAAGTTACAAAAATATGCACTAAGACATGATATCCTGTACTACAGCGTGGCAAAGGGTATAACAGCACAAATCTTTAGCAACTTTGTAGACAAGACACAATAATTACGAGGCAAAATTTTCTTTATGGTGTATTTATTTCGAAGGGAGAATATTGCGTTATTGACGGGTTTTAATGTATGCCAACTGAACAGACTGTATATTTAAGCATTGCTACGATATTTCATTTTAAATTTATACGACAATTAATTACAGCCATGACAAAATTTCTCATTTTAATAAACATACACAGAGCTGCTTTTACATCATTATATGCGAATTTGATTGTTTTGTTATGAAAATACTCACATAAACAACTGCATATCATTTTAAAACGAGTGATATGTCAATGTTCGTATGTCCATACTGGCATAAAATTCTCAATTGATTTCTTATAAATTCAGTCCTAAGCAGTGTTGCCAAAACTTGATTGAACAAAAATGATAAATTTTGTTTCAAGAAATGCCAAAAAGTGCTAAAAATTTAGAAAGTGCCAGAAAAAAGTACCTAAACAATTATTTTTATGAGTGTATTATTGAGAGGATATTATAAGTGTGTGTGGCCCAAGAGTTTGAAACTCCACGAAATACTGGTCCTAGACCATTGATGCCCAAGACTTCCAAAAATCATACGTTAGCGCAAATGAATAAAAAAGTACTCTCATTTATTATCTTTTCCTCAATTGGGGATGAATTCTTCATTTTTGGGTATGAATTCTTAGTTACGCTCACCTATATCTACTCTCAATTTAGTAATGCCCACCACTGTCCTAGACCCACCATTTATTGTACTAGTCGTACTATTTAGACTTGCAATAAATTATAAATTATGGAGCAACCGGAGCTTTGATATTAAGGGAATGAAATTAATCAACAAAAAAAGTGTTTTTAGTCTCCCCAGAGGCCACATTTATCACCCGAAAACCAATAACTATTATACAGGGAAGGAAATCTGGTCAACGAAGAAGATTGTTAAGGGGGTCAAATGAACTAAGACTTAGTCTGACTTTTTCATCGAGTAGACTAGTTTAGCAGAAAATTTAAGTCCGGTGGTTGTTTGTGTAGAGTATGATGGTTGACACCGTCTAAGTATACGATCCGTGTGAAAATAGAAAAATTTCAATGTAAAATCGAAAAACGAGATTTTTGTTGGTGTAATATCGATAATTGTAAAAAATGCCAGCAAAAAATAAAAACGCTAAAAAAGTACTAGATGCTAGACGACTTTTTTGGTGCTAAATGAGTTCGAAAAGTGCTAAATCTAGCACTAAAAGTGCTAAATTGGCAACACTAGTCCTAAGAGTACTATTACAGTATAAGAATGTTATTATAAATACTGTGTCAATCAAATCATTTGGAACTATTACAAAAGTATTGGAAAACTTACTAAGGGCACATTCGGCACTTTTTGTTTAGACCTCTATATCTCAGTAAATATTCAAAATATATAAACACGATTATTGTCCGCTGATACCTTATTATAAAAACTAGTACCAAAAACCTACCAACCGGTGTTTCGGCATTTGATGGGGCACATTCGGAGAGATTTCAAACTTTGCGACAGTTATTTTTTTGATATACGATACCTATGTATCGAAGCTCGTTATCTACGGTAGGATCTTCATCTCGAAATCGCGATTGCCGAATGTGCCCCGATGCCGAAGGTGCATCGGGCACATTGTTTTACAAATTAGATGAACTAAGTACTACAGGTGTGGACAAAACAGCAAATCCTAGTTTTTAACATCCTCAGCAACCAAAATAAACACTTTTATAATAGACGTTAATTTTAATATTCAAATAGTAGAGCATCAGAAAAATATACAAATTTTTCGAAAATATGGTGAAAAAATCAATTGGCAAACAATAATTATATTTGTTGCTTTGTAAACACAAAACTACTTCATGTATCAATATCAAATTTTATATTTATTCTAATTGCAGTGTTTTTTTTATCAATTCTCATCAAAAAATGTGTCCTCTGAGGTACTTGGTTTTGACCATTTTTGCGCGCCGTAGTAACACTGTGTGTCGCCACGACGATAAATCGCTGTCAGTAAATGTCTTTTGCAATAAAGGCATATTTGTTCAAATTGTGTGGCAACTGGTACCTTCTTGTTAAACCACATAATCTACAAGTCGTATTCTTCAATTGCAGGCAAAAAAGAAGTTTATCATACGTCCACACCTTCAGACACCAATCAGTGACTTGGCTATGATATGCTAAATTTTTGGAAGGAAAAGTTTGAATCCAATGACAACCAAATTATAGCCAATTTGGTTAAATAACGTGTTAGTATATGCTATAGTGTGTGAAGTTTCGTTAAAATAGGTTCAGATTTAGATATAGCTTCTATATATATTTTCGTCCGATTTTAGGTAAATGGAAAATACTCACATAAACAACTGCATATCATTTTAAAACGAGTGATATGTCAATGTTCGTATGTCCATACTGGCATAAAATTCTCAATTGATTTCTTATAAATTCAGTCCTAAGCAGTGTTGCCAAAACTTTATTGAACAAAAATGATAAATTTTGTTTCAAGAAATGCCAAAAAGTGCTAAAAAATTTAGAAAGTGCCAGAAAAAAGTACCTAAACAATTATTTTTATGAGTGTATTATTGAGAGGATATTATAAGTTTGTGTGACCCAAGAGTTTGAAACTCCACGAAATACTGGTCCTAGACCATTGATGCCCAAAACTTCCAAAAATCATACGTTAGCGCAAATGAATAAAAAAGTACTCTCATTTATTATCTTTTCCTCAATTGGGGAAATAACGTGTTAGTATATGCTATAGTGTGTGAAGTTTCGTTAAAATAGGTTCAGATTTAGATATTGCTTCTATATATATTTTCGTCCGATTTTAGGTAAATGGTGCACCAAACACCACATATTTGTCAGATTGACACGAAATTTTGCACAACGTATCAAATTGAGACTAAAATGACGTTATTGTATTTTTTGGTGAAATTGAGGGAGATGCACACTTAGCTTTCATATACATTTCGAACGGGTGACTGGTTGAGATTAAATTTGGAACAGAGGGGCATACCGAATAGTGTGTATCAACTGTGCTATATGATTCACATAAATGTGTCCCATTGTAACGACTCTAAATCTGCCCGATTGAAATGAAATGTTCTGATTTAAGGGGACCCCCCCATTCTAGGGGTCAACATTTTTGTTGATATAATTCGAACCTACACTGATTAAAGAATGTCCCTACAAAATTTCAAGTGAAAATCTCAAGAACTCTTGAAGATATATCCGATTTATTGTGTCAGCATCAAGTGACGGCTGAAGGGCTACTCAAACTTTAAACGCGTTTTTCTCTAAAAATTTGTTTGCGAATGGCGGGCACGAGTGGGAATGTATAGCTCTCGTATGAACTAGGATAAAGCCAATCGGTGAAGATCTTCCTTATTTTTTAACTTGGTTTTTGGTAAAAAAATCGGCGATTTTCCAAAAATATTTTTTCAAAGGTCCACCATTTTATTAATTTTAGAGCGAAGCCAATAATCCTAGTTCATACGAGAGACAGACATGTACTCTTTCTAACACCGTTGGAATTTTCGGATTCCGATGTTCCAGTTAGGACTTATCATGCCCGCCATCAAAAATAAGGACTTTTCTTTAATTACAAAAAACAACAACAAAACAGTAAAAAAAATGTTTGGTAAATTATTTTTCTTCTCTTTTAAATCTTCAAATATATATGTGCAAAGTTACAAACCTCAACAAGCATTGGTATTGATTTACCAGCCCATTGAAAATCTTGAAAAAATAAAATCGAGAATGGGGGGTTCCCTTAAATTCATAATTTATCTGCTTTAGTACAACATTCGCGCCTACTGAAACAAATGCATCATCGGTGGTAAATGTTTTAACCATAACTGTACATCTCACAATAGCTTCGCACCATAAAGTCTACATCATTGTTTTTTTTTTTTTAATTTTATTTAACTTTGACATCTCTTCATAGAAAGAATTTGAAATACAATGCCATGACACACGCCAAATCATAGCAAAAAATCTCGTAGAATTGAAAATACAAATAATTCCCTCCAATATATTTTAATATGACAAACATATACATACATATGTCCTTTTTTTTTGATGAATTTTATATTTCTAGGGAATTTTTATTTGACAATGTTATACACTTATTAAGAAAACAATTGAATATCAACATGTTTTAAATTCGTAAATAAATGAGATCCACACAATATTGAGTACTTTAAGTATGTCGACCTTAACACAACTTTACCATGTAACATTCTGGTTCTTATATGACTCACTGCGTATCTGAGAAGATATCAGAAAGACAATTGACGCTGACACTGACTGATACAAATCACCACACACAACTCTTATCATAAAATCAACTTCTCGTATCAATTCAACATTTACCGGTGTGGCAAAGAAACACTTCGATCTGTTTAGTACGCATTTATCTGTCAATGTGAAAACTCAATCTGACCATAAGTGAACCGAATTCAATAAAGAAGTATAAAATGGATACAGAAGATGATATCATCGAAGACAACTTTGCCAGGAATCGGTAAAATGTCTGTGACCATTAGCACAGCACAAAAGTGACATAATCTCTTGCAATATTTTAGCAAAAACAAAGAAAAGCCCCCTTTATGGGATTCGTTTCAAGATCCACCATCAAAGAAGGCTACTGGCTCTGCGGCAAGTTGGAACAAACTGGGATTTATTTTAAAGCTCTTCAAACTTTTTACGTACATTTTTGTATTTGCCCTCATCCTGGCCACGGCTGTTGTTTCGAAAATCGCATTCATTTTTATGGTGGCTCAAGTTCAACCGCATCGAAGTGTTAAATATTGCAACATTGTAGGTATGTACAGTTGTGTCATCCACACCTTTAAATTGGATGAAAAGTCGGTGGAATATTCACGAATGGCGTGAGAGGCCAATAACAAAAGAAAATATATTGTGTATTCAATTTCAATGCCGGTTGAAAAATTGTGACCTATTTAAATATTTCTACATTTGCAATGTGTTTACATACATTAGGTTTGTTTGATAACCCAATAATTTGTAACAATTTGTACAAATGGTTACTTAATGTTGTTTGATAACGTAAGCCTTCAATAAATGCGAGTAAGTTGAGAGAGAAATGTTGGTAGTTGTGTACTGAGTATTGAAAAATTCTTACTGGTAAAATATACTCTGCTGATCTCAGTAAAAATTTTCATGTTTACGGTTTTTTGTAAAATATATTTTATTTGTCCAATCAATGCAATAATCTGAATATTTAATTTTTTGGCTATATGTAGCAATATGCTATGTATAATAGCATGAAATATATAAAACTCATTTATTACAAAATTGTTTTCTGTATCCATTTTCTTAACAACTTCAAATTGTGACACATTCATTTGATTTCTTACTGGAGTTTACTGGATGTTTTTCGATAACTTTTTCAATAAAAACTCTCTCTGAACATAAATTACGGAGTAATTTTTGCTGAGTAGGTTATCAGACAAACCTATTATGTCATTTGCAAAGACGGAGAGTATTTACAAGAACTCGGACGAAATTATTTATGGTGCTACATCTAAACCTTATTCGATTTTAAAGTAAACTTATATGAATTCGTGTAAAAGGAAAACAAACAAGGTGCGATGAAAAAACTGCAAGAAAATGCAGTCATTTTTAAGCCACTCGACGAATTTTGGTGAAAATATTCCAGAAAAAAGTTCTTCGTGATGGAATTAAAGCGTGATAGTGTGATTTCTTTATATTTGGCTGGGAAACCACAATAGGCCATCGTCAGAGCACTCCAGCATTTAAATGTGAATAAATCTTTTGTGTCTCGCACCATCTCTTGTTACTGTGATACAGGTAGAGTAGCCCGACGTCAAGGACGTGGACGGAAGTAAACAGCAACATCAGGAGGAATGGTTCGAAAATTAAAGAAGCGACTTGAACGAAACCCACTTCGCAGAGCCAAAAAATGGCTCGTGAGCTGAACATGTCGTAATATTCCACTCTGCAAATATTGAAAAATGAGCTCGGGGTAAAGCGATTGAAATTTCAAAAAGTGCAAGAACTTACACCACAACATAAAGAAAAACCAGTAAGGAATGTTCAGAAGTCGGACGGGGCCGACTATATAATACCCTTCACCACTTTGGATACATACAAGAGATGCTAATATATACAATATCCTGTAGATAGAACAGACATATAATTTTCAGAGGACCATTGAAATGGATGGGGCGAAACTAAATGTGTGATCTACATAGATATTTGAACCAAGTAAAAAACTCAATGCACATACCATTTTGAAATCTATGAAAAATTGGTATACTGGAGCACAGAGTTGTTCACAATTTTATCTCGTGTATATGGAACAGACGTAGGTTCCTCGGTGCACCATTTACCAAAAATCGGAAGAAACTATATATGGGAGCCCTATCTAAATCTGAACCGATTTTCACAAAACGTCGTATACAATCTAATTCGTTGTGCAAAATTTTGTATCAATCGGCAGTTTGTAAACAAACAAAATGATCGTGTTTACTTGCCAAAGAGGTCAGCTGAAAATGTGCACCATCGGTTGACGGCCGATGTGTGCCGCCATAACAGCCGATGGTAGCTCTCCGCTCGTATTAATTGACCGTGGCATCAGAAAATAGCGAAAATATTCTGGAGGGTGTATTAAAGCCATGGACACGCAAACATTTTAGGCGCAGATCTTGAGCATTCCAACAGGACTCAGCACCATCGCACTTAGCACGCCCCACCCAAGAATGGTTACAAAATGAGGTTCCTCGCTTCATTTCCAGCGCACAATGGTCACCAAAATCTCCGGATATCAATCATTTGGACTATTGTGTATGGAGTATTTTAAAAAGCAAGGTTGGCACTAAATATACTAAAGTGTGGATCACTTCAAGCAAGCGCTTCGCCTGGAATGGGCAAAAATACCGCAGAGCAACATTCGTTTGACGGTTTCTTTGGCCGTTTGAAGGTCATAATTCGTGCCAAAAGTGACCAATTCGAACAATCTAAAAATATTCTACAATTTGATGCTATTTCCGACATTTTTTGCTTTCCATCAATAAAATTTAAAAATAATGTAAAAACCAGTAAGCGAAGCAACATAGTCGCACGGGGCCGACCATATGATACCCTACACAATTTCCATGAACATCTAACTTTCTGTGGTACCACATTCTGAGCTTGGACAATATTTCGCGATGTTTGCACCCTCTTGACCCACTAGAGGTCAACAAATATTACTAATATTCAGTAGAGTCATTCTAATTACTTGTCCAGATTCCCTTCAACGTGGGTTGTTTGTGATGTTCGGCTTTCATTTGATCGACTCGAAAATGATAAAAAAATACGTTTTCGGTCCACTTCATCCCAATATTATTATCTGATCATCACCTTGACTAGTGAAAAATTTTAAAGCGATGAGCGCTATAATTCCACCCTCTGGTGTGGTAATGGGTTACTAAATAATATATGAGTACGTGAGCACCTGTAAACATTTAAGTGTAACTCCCACATCCGAGTACATACGACAATAATATTGGTATCAATTTGAAGGTCAAGCACTCCTCTTGGGTATACTATCAACTTCTTGGGTCTATGTCCTTCGGGGTTAAATCTATACGCTATAGGATACAAATTTTGTCATTTTTTACACAAAAGTCAGGGACCATTTAAATATTGACCGATCTTTATCAAAACAGGCATGTTTATTCTTTGGCCCGATCCCTTTCTCCACGCAAAAATTCGAGGTGTTGCGGCCTCTGGAGCGACCAGAAAAACGGACAAAAATTTAGTATTTGGTCCATTTTATCCCCTAAATATTAACCGATATAGGGATCTTCATTGACCAGAACCCATCCTACATGCAAAATTTCGTGAAGATTGGTCCATAACTGTGGCCTGTATCGTGTTTACAAATTATAATGGACGGACGGACGGACGGACGGACACACATGTCTAGATCGACTCAACGAGATATGACGATTGGTATACTTAAAGGTGGGCCTAGGAGCAATATTTCGCGGCGTTACAAACATTTGGGGCTGCACAAAACCATAATACCCTGACAACATAGTTGTGTAGGGTATAATTATGGCGTTTGGCTTTAAATGGGTTCGACTTTGGGCCCTGCAAAATTCCTTCACAATTTGATAATAATAATAAAATAACTGGGAATACGCCTCTCAATTTTCTATACACTCAGCCGTATGGTTAATGAAAATATATCGCTGGCTTAATTTTGTAAAGGCAACAAGGCCATTTTTCTAAAAATTGAGATTTTGATACAGTTATATACAGATATAAGATATATAATATATAATAAGATATATAATTTTGATACAGATATAGGGCAACATTCATCGATTTACAAAATAAAACCAGTAAGGAAAGTAGTAAAGTCGGACTGGGCCGACTATATGATACCCTTTACCACTTTCGGTATATTGTACATATGCACCCTTACAATTGCATGTCAATGCTCCCTCGAAGGAACGATATAGATATAGCTCCCATATATATGGGAGCTATATCTAAATTTGAACCGATTTTTTCCAATTTCAATAGGGTTCGTCCTTGGGCCAAATGAATGAGCTGTGCCAAATTTTATCCAATTCGAATAATAAATGTGACCTGTACTTTGTTTACAATTTAATATGGACCTGTGTCTATCTCGTTTCCTTTTGCCTGTTACAAACATATGCACAAAGACATAATACCCTGTACCGCAGTGTGGTGAAGGGTATAAATATAGTTATCTCATTATACCCTTCACCACATTCATTATACCCTGCATATGTTTGTAACAGGCAAAAATAATCGAGATAGACCCATGGTTCTTTTTGAGAATATGCATAGAATCACATTCTGAGTCGATTTATGCATGTCCGTCCGTCTGTCCATGTAAAATTGTAAACAAACTACAGGTCGCATTTATAATCCGATTTGGATGAAATTTGCACAGCACATTTGTTTGGCCCAAGGACGAAATCGGTTCAAATTTAGATATAGCTCCCATATATATTTTCGTCCAATTTAAGGAAAATGGCGAACCAAAGTCCCTATATATCTTTCGATTTGCGAAATTTTGCACAGCGTAATGAATAAGGTCTAGAATGATGTATGCAAAATTTCGTGAAAATCGGTTCAGATTTATATATATAGCTCCCATATATAGTTTCGCCAGATTTTAGGTAAATAGTCCTCTAAAGTCCCTGGAAATCTTTTGATTTGCACGAAATTTGGCACAGCGTAATGAGTAAGGTCTAGAGTTATGTCTGCCAAGTTTCGATAAAATCGGTTCAGATTTAGATATAGGTCCTATATATAGCTTCGCCTGATTTTAGGTAAATAGTCCACTAAAGTCTCTGCAAATCTTTTGCTTTGCACGAAATTTGGCACAGTGTAATGAACTAGGTATAGAATGATGTGTGTTAAGTTTCCTGGAAATCGGTTCAGATTTAGATATAGCTCCAATATATATTTTCGTCCGATTTAATGTAACTGGTGCACCAAAGTCCCTATATATCTTTCGATTTGCACGAATTTTTTTCACCGAATTGGCTGTTATTTAGCATTTTGAGTTCTTAATCGGTACCGAATCTCTCAAAAAAAATTATGAATATAGGACTATTTTTTCGGGTAGCACCCATATAAGTGTGCCCCCCCAATACTCGGTATTTTGGAGTTCTTGAGCGCCTTATTCAGCCGAATTCGCTGAAATTTGGTACATTGGGTTCTTATTGGGTATTAAATGTCTCCACAATTATAATATGAACATATTGCATATAATTTAAATTATTTTCTATAAAATGAAGTGTTCTTGTCAAA